TTGCCCCGCCCACAGCCACCTTCAGACCCACCTGCCCGGGGCTTCCTGGTCCCCCAGCACCATGCCTGAAGTCACCTTACTCCACTCCAGCACGGGCGGACCCACGCTCCCAGGGGTGTCCAAGCCCTAGGGCAGAGGAAGGCCGTCAGACCCCCATACCTGCAGAAGGACCCCCGACCTCATTGTTCCTCCTGCAAGCTGGGCACCGCCCGCCTCCACCGGGGTCTCAGGCTGAGCCCCTCAGAGCCTCACTGTGGAATGGGGTCCCCTCTTTAGGGGTTGTGAGGGGCGGCGGGGTCCCCCTGGCCCCATCATGCCCATGTGGCAGGCATTCCGGGCCTCACCAGAGTGCAAAGGGGCAGGCAGCTGGGTCAGACCTTCAACCCCACCGGGAGGAGAAGGCGGCCCAGGCCCCACCCTGCCCTCGCCAGGGTCTCCCCCAGGGCAAGGCCCACTTCCAACACAGGTGGCCATCCAGGGGCACCAGGAGGCCGGCGCCGGGCCCCCCTCGCCCAGCCGCCGGCCGGCGTACCCCGCGCGGCGCACAGTGCGGTACGAAGGTCACAATGCCCGGGCTGCTCTGGGAGACCACCCGGGCGGGCCTCCCGATCGCCGCCTCCCGCTGCTTCCGGTACACCTCCTGCAGCCGGCGGCTCCGCAGCTCCTGCGCCTGCGCGGCCGCCGCCTTCTCCTGCAGCGCCTGGCGCCTCCGCGCCTGGGCCCTGTGGCGCATGAACGCCCGCAAGGACTCGGGGCTGTGCGGCGGGCCCGGGACGCCCCGGGGCCTGTGGCCGGCAGCCAGCTCCTCCGCGTTCTCCTTCCCGGGCGCCCGAGGGATGCTTCCTTCCCGCCTCGGCGGCCCCGATCCCCCGCCTTTGCATGGGGCGCCCGCTCGATGCACGAAGGAGGTGCTCCGGGGCCGGTGGGCCGGATACGGCCTTTCCGGAGGTTCCCACGGCCCGCGGACAGTAGCACGCCAGTCTTCACAGTCCTGGCCCGCTGTACTGCTCCAGGGCCTCGGTGGGGAGGAGCCCAGCCTTGCCGGGGGGCTCTCAGGTCTCTGGAAAGAGGGGTCCCACTCTTCGGCCACCCAGGCCCGCTGGGGGTGAGACCCACACCCGGCCGAAGCACTGCAGGGCCCGGGGATGGTCCAAGCCCTCTCTGGGGCACTGCCCTGGTCTTGGGTCGTGGCCCAAGGCCTCTGTGAGAAGGCACCCTGCTGTCTCCTCTCTGTTGAGTCCTGCCCTTCCAACTTGGACTGCCCAAGCTCTGGCCCCTGCCTGGCCTGGGGGTGCCGGGCCAAGTCCAGCCCGGCCTGGATCTGCCGGCGGAGGTCTCGCAGGATGGCCATTGCAGTCTGGATGGTGGCTGGCTGGTCCCCGGAGGACGGGCTGGGTGTGTGGACAGACACCTGCTGGTCACTGCAGGCTGGGCTGGGTGTCCGGGGGGAGGCAGGGCCACCTGCCACAGCTAGAACCTTCTTGCTGTCCCCTGCAAAAGAGCAGTTACGGACACTTTAGGGGCTGCAGGCTCATGGGGAAGGGCAAGGCCCTCGAGAAAGTGGGTGCCCAGGAGGGGTCAGCAGGGTCCTCCCCCATGAGTTTCCCTTTAACCCTTGCTCATCACAGACATACAGGTGCCCTCTGGGACAGGTGCCATGTCTGCACGACTCATGCTGGCCCAGAGTGCCCAGTGGACAGCAGATGTTGGAGGAGCCCGGTGGTCCCCATCCTGTTCATAAACTGGGAAGCCCAGGAGTCCATGCCCTGCCTTCCCAGGGCTGGCAGGAGCCTCTTAGGGACAGAGTCCTTGCCTGGTATGTCACATGATTGTCCTCTAAGTCCCTTCTCTGACCGAGATTTGGACAAGTCCTTGGAGTGGTGCTAATACTGCACCCGGATCCTGCCTCTGGCCCAGGAGCCGTCGCCTTTAGCTGCCCCCCACCCAGGCCACCGCGAAGCAGGCCAGAGCCCTGGCCCACGGCACGAGGTACCTAATTCCAAGGTGGGGGCTGGCTCTGGCTCTCTCAAGGGGGCCTGGCTCTGGCGCCCAGGCAGCACGGGGCGGGGCCCAAGCAGCAGCCTCACCAGGGCTTGTCCTCTCCGCCAGGCGTGCACACCCACCTCAGAATCTTCAACAGAGAAAACACACACACACACGGGAGGCCAGGCAGCCTGGGATCAGGTCACAGCACCCTGGAGGGTGCATGAGGAGACCCTGCCTGACCAGGCACCTTAGGAGTGGGGACCAGGTCCTCTGCCACCAGCAAGAGAGGTCCAGGGCTGTCTTGGGTGTCCTGGGTCTTAATTCCTCTTCCGTAAAACTGAAATGTGGCATCAGGATTGGAGGAAGACTCATTAACAACCTATGTTATGTAGACGACATAACTTTGCTCACTGAAAGTGAGGATAACTTGAAGCACTTACTAATGAAGATTGAAGACTACAGTCTGCAGTATGGATTATACCTCAACATAAAGATAATAAAAATCCTTACAATGGGACCAATAAGCAGCATCATGATAAATGATAAATGGAGAAAAGATTGAAATTGTCCAAGATTTCATATCACTTGGTTCTACAATCAACACCAATGGAAGCAGCAGTCAAGATATCAGATGTCGTATGTTGTTGTTGTTGTTTGCCATCGAGTTGGCCCCGACTCATAGCGACCCCTCCTTGGGTTTCTGAGGCAGTATCACTATGGAAGTAGGAATGCCCAACCTTCCTTCTGAGGAGTGGCTGGTGGGTTTGAACCGCCAGCCTTCTGGTTAGCAGTCAAGTGCCTTAGCCACTATGCTACCAGAGCTCCCAGATGTCGTATAGCACTGGGCAAATCTATTGCAAGAGACCTCTTTCAAGTGCTGAAGAGCAAAGATGTCTTCTTGAGGACTAAGATGTGCCTGATACAAGTCATGATATTTGTAGTTGCCTCATATGCATGTGAGAGCTGGACAATGAAAAAGGAAGACTGAAGAGGAGTTGATGCTTTTGAGTTGTGCTGGTGAAGAGTGCTGACTGTACCGTGGACTGATAAAAGAACTAACAAATCTGTCCTGGGGAAAGTGCAGCCAGAATGCTCCTTGGAGGCGAGAATGGCCAGGCTTCGTCTCACCTTCTTTGGTCATGTTGTCAGAAGGGACCATTCCTTGGAGGATGTCATGCTTGGTAAAGTGGAGGGACAACGAAAAAGGGGAAGGCCCTCAATGAGATGGACTGACACGGTGGCTGCAGCGAGGGGCTCAGGTACAGCAAGGATTGTGGGGCTGGTGCAGGACCAGGTGGTGTTTCGTTCTGCTGTACATGAGGTCACTATGAGTTGGAGATGACTCGATGGCACCTAACAACAACAACAGCAAACTGAAACGAAGGTCACAGCCTGTCCCGAGGGCTGTGTCTGTAGAATGTGCGGCCCCTGGCACACAGCACGTGCTCCCCCAATATTGGCCGATAATAACGGCAAAGACGGTAACAACCACGAACCCAGGCTCAGCCCTGCAGCGCCCAGGCCACACAGGCAGGTCTCCCTGGGATCAAAGGCAGTGTTGTATCTGATCGCAGGTGCTGGGCCGGAGGAATTCATATCTTTTTAAGCTGGTGACAGTCAGCAGCAACAGGGGTGGGGGCTGATGAAGACGCTAGGATGGTGGCTCAGTCCCTGGTAATTTCAGCAGAAACTATCCACTGAGTCCCACACAAACGAGCTGGCTTTCATAGGTGCTGCCACATAATAGAGCCATTGTTCAAGGTTTGACTTCAAAACCCCAGGCTACATCCTGCAAATGCCAGTGTGGGCACCACTGTCATCATAAAGCCACCCATGGCCCCTGGCTGAGGCTGAGGGGGGCTGGCCTGCTCATACACAAGGTACTCAGGATCCAGGCCAAAGGCCACACATGTCGAGGGGCTGCCATCCCTCAGGCCTACCCAGGGCACTAACACTGGTGGCTTTGGCCCTCTAGAGAGCTGCTGTTGGACAGGAAACCTCACGTGGCTGAAATCAAGACCAGGGGGTCCCAGCCAAGACTTCCCCGGCCCCCTGCCGGGGATGGTTTATTCTGCAGGTCTAATACGGGTGCCTTAAGGAAGGGACTATCGAGAGAGGGCCAGCAGGGGCAGGCAGCCACCCAGGGTCGGGGATTGCCGTAGCACACCCTGACGGCGCATGGCCACACGCACAAAACTACTGTTACGAGGAGATGGGTCACCAAGAGCCACGCCCTCCCTAGGCCGGGACCCTGACACTCCACCCCCATCAAGGCCAAGCCCTCTGAGACCAGGAAGCTGAGGCCACGCCTTCTCAAGGCCAAGACACTGAGGGCTCAGAGACAGTGTCTCCCCATTGCCTGGCCACTACCTCCAGGGACCAGGGTCCTCCAGACCATACTCACCCTCAGCCTGGAAGCTAAGGCAGGGAGGACCCCTAGAGGCCGGGACACCCATTGACCACACCCTCTGGAGTCCAGCCCCTCATCTCCAGGACCTGGGTGGGGGGTGGCGTTAAGAGCACAGCCGGCTTCCAGATCTGGGGTTCGAGGCCAGCTGTGGACTTGCTAGCTGTGAATCTGGGGCAAGTGACATCACTTGTTGATGCCTTGATTTCCCCGCCTGTTAAATGGGAATGGGTAGTTAACAGTCCCTCCCCCAGGGGCACTGAGAACGAAACTGGCCTCACTAACATCCCAAGAGTTGGCCCCAGAAGGGCTTGGGGTTCCGCCAGCTCAGGTCAGAGTCTGGGGGTGCTGCAGCGGGACAGGGGTGGGGCTCAGAGCGAGGGGCCTCTGTCCCAGCCCTCCTGAGCCGCTCTGCTGAACAAAATGGGCCACGTGCCCCTACAGGCGCTGGGCAGGCGGCCGGCAGCTCCGAGTCCCCGTTAGCTGCCAGAGGGGACCGGGCAAACAAATGAGTCCTGAAGGACACATCTTTTTCTTCCGCTGAGCAGTTTAATGGCAATTAATTTTTTTACGAGAGGAGTTTTAATCTGTGGGAATGGATTACGTTCCCGAGTGCCCTGTCAGAGTTCCAGCGCCGACTTAATCTATGATAAAAAATGCAAAGTGAAGGGATATAACCTGAAATTAAATATCTGCCTTCACCTCCCCCCGCAGGATGGATGAATATTTTATAACTATTGTGATTTAATTTTTTGTTAACTACAGCAAATTTCTAATTCATCCAATTCCCCAGTCCTGTGGTTCTGACCTCTGAACCCAAACTCATCTCTTCTTAGCCCAGCTGTGACTTCGTCAGTGACAGAAACTAATGGTCAGCCCGACAGGGTGACACAGTGGTTACAATGATGGATGCAGCCTGTGGCACGCCCTTCTGACCCCGTGTCGGGCAGAAAGCGGGTCATTTTTCAAGGGAGCCATTAAAACAGACCAAAAAGCTGGGGAGGCGGGGGGAGGATGAGGCAGGAAATTGTTGTATTTCACGCGTTGTCAGGGAACCTCCTGGAACATTCTCGGGGCTCCCCCCCATCCCTCACTCTGTGCTCTGGGCCAGCCGCTCTCCTGCGTTGCCTGGCCGTCCTGCCTGCTGAAGAAACATGTCTGCTGTCATGCCAGGTGGCCCGGCCTAGACTCTCAAATCTCACTCAAGTGCTGGCTGCTGTGCGTGGGTGCAAGGACACGTTTATTCAGCCCGCTTGAAGCCACCCTCTGCCCACGACCAGAGGCAGCGGGTGTCTGATGACACGGACACAACAGGACACACACCACCCGCTCTACCGAGGGGCCTCCAGGCTGCACTCTCATGCCATGGGGGAAACTGAGGCACAGGGAGACACAGAGCCGCTCTCAAGCTTACTCTTACAGTAATGGCCCAACAGAGCCGACCTCAGCAGCGTGGCGGGTCAGGCTGTCCTCCAGTGGTGTGTCTCCTAATCCCATGGGCCCCTGAGGATGGGCCCTGACAAGGTGCCCAGGTGTGGCCCCAGGTAAACATGGTGGGACTCAATTGAAGAATACAGACCTGGGGCAGGACAGGTCCCAAGCCTGGCTCTGTCCTGTGTGACCCCAGGCAGGCTGCAAAACCTCTCTAGCCTCAGTTTCCCCACATGCAAAATGTGAGCAAAGCCACCTACCAAAGGGGGGAGCTGCGAGCCAAGACTCCCAGGTCACATGCCACAACGCTGCGCCCCTGGCCAGGATGCACCCAGCACAGCCACCCCACCCTGACCGCTGAGAATGTTCTAGAGGAAATGTCTACAAAACCACAAACTGATCTCACTCACCCAGGTCCAGCCCATTTTTGGGGGGCTCCGCCCAAGGGCAGAGGGCTCTCAGGACTTATTCCACAATGCCGCCACCTGACCCCAGGCTGGGGGGCAGCTTGGCTTGGTGCCAACACGCTACCTGGCCCCTTGGGCAGCAGAACCCCAAATGGAAGTCGTAGTGGTGAGGTCACTGAGCAGACTTCCTGACTTCCTGGATGTCTCTTTCAAGCCCATCCCGGTCCTCACACCAGCACTCAGCTATCTTATAGCCTCGCCTGACTTCTCTGAGTCCCCAGGGCTGTTTGGTAAGTGGGACCTTCCCCGCCCCCACAGACCTGGGTGAAGTCCTGCTAAGGGCTTGCTGCCTGGAATTCTAGCAGTAAATCAGCCCTGGCCGGGGGCCCATCTCCTCCGTGGCCTGCCTGCTGCTGGAGGCAGAACTGTGGCCGCTCGGGATGTGAGGCTGAGGAACAGAGGCACGAAGGTAACACAAACGGTTTGCGCTTGACTATTGACCAAAAGGTTGGCGGCTCAAACCCGCCCATGGCACCACAGAAGAAAGTCCTGTCAGTCTGCATCAGTAAAGGTTACTGGTAGGAAACCCCTGTGAAACTCAGTCCTGCTCAGTCATGCGTGGGGTCGCCGGGAGTGGGAATCAACCTCTGGCAGCAGGCGTGGTGTCTGGCATTTAACTGAGAAGTCAGCACAGCCCTGTGAACCGGGTGGCCGTGTGCCTCCTCACGCCTGGTGCCTTTCGAAGTGTGCGATACAGAGATGGCATATGTGCTAGAGTGTCGCAGGCAGCGCTGTGCCCTAACCTAGGCCGTGCGTGTGGAGCAGGGGCACGTAGGGACTGGGGACTTGGCTTTGTCCCCAGGGCTACAGTGTGGCACAGATGGGGACCACGGCTGCCCCAAACTCCAGAGACACACATGACCTGCTACCCTCCTTTGGAGTGCTCCACCAACCCCGCTGACCCCGGACGCGCCCAGCTGCCGTCCATACCGGACATGAAGCCCCTTTGCTCCCTGGAGTTGGGGTCGGCCCTGGGCCTGCAGTTGGTGGCCCTACCTTTGCTCTGGGGAGCTCTTCGAGGAGGGCAGGACTTGGGTGCCTTCTCTCTTTTGCAAGAACAACCTTCAGTCCTTTCTGTTGCTTCCCTTGGAACTTGAGCGAGAAGAGAGAGACGGGGGAGGACAGTGAGTAGTGACACAGGGACCTGCCATGCTGCCAGCCCAGGGGCCTGTGAGAGGGCAGGCCCTACAGTTACGTAACACAGTGCTCCTGTGCCCTTCAGCCCTGCACTGCCCGGTCCACCCTGGGGGGGTGGCTGAGCACAGGGCCTGGAGGGCACAGGGCCAAATCCCACCTGACAGTCTGGGTGAGGACCACCACCAGGGGCTGCCTCGGGTAGGGCTGGGGCCCTGCGCACCCCACGCCCTCCCTCACAGCAGGTGCTGGCTTCAGACAGGTGTCAGGGAGCCCTGAGGGCAGGATCCAGTCTCTCAGCCTGGTAATCCCCATACCCAGCCCTGTCAGGTGCTTATGACGTTTGCTGAGTGAATGAGTGACTAAATATGAATGAATGAAGGGGACAGGGATTGAGAGGGCGTGCCGGCAGCTGTGGAGAGCGGCTGGTGGCCACAGGGGAGGCCGAGGGTGGCTCAGGGACAGGTGCTTGCTCACCAACCCCTGGAGGCACAAGACACCCCCAATCCTGTCCACAACAGCTGCCGGGCGGGGTCCCAGCTGGAGCAGCAGCCCCTGCCCCCACTGTACCTGGGCGGGTGACAGTCGTCCTGCAGGGACCTGACTCTCATGCCCGCCTCCACAGCCCTGTGGAGGTCCCACATGGCCCCCTGCGGCCAGATTCCTTCCAGCCACGGGCACCCTGGGTAGGTGGCCTGGGGCGAGCTCCAGGCACCCCCACACCCCAGTCTCTTCCTCCTTCCTTCCTCCCTGGTCTCCAGGATCTCACTGGGGCCACAGGGACAGGGCTCACACTGGTCTTCCCTCCTCTGACCCAGTCCCTACCCTGCAGACAGAGGGAGCCTGCCCAAGCCCATGCCCACCGTCACACTATGTTTAAATCCCTGACATGCCCACTGCCCTGAGCCCAGGGCAGAACCTGCCAGCCCTATGGGCGGCTCTCCACCCTCACCTGTTCCTCTTGTGGGGCGGTGACTACGCAAAAGCCCAGGGGCTCCCCTGGCCCCTTCCCCACTCAACTGGCATCTCCAGGTGAGGCAGGGCCATGTAGAGGTCAGGCGGGAAGTGTCCAGCCCCCTTGGCAAGATGTCACAGCCCACTAGGAAGCTGAGGCAGGACGATGCAGGACAGGCCTCCCCTCTGCCCTGTGGGCCAGCTCTCAGCCGGGAGGTACCCCTGTGCAGCCCCTCCCCTCAAGCTGCACCTACCCTGCAGCCTGCCTGGATTCCTTGGGGTGGGGTGGGGGTGGGATGGGGGGGTGCAGCCTGCAGAGGGTTGGGACAGAGAATGAGAGAATAGCAAGCTGAGTCTGAATCCTGGCTCGGCCCCTCCTGGCTGGGGCCTCTCTGAGCCCCCGTATCCTCGTCTATGAGCGGAATCGCATCAGAGCAGGAACACAGGGTGAGAGGGAAGCCGCGTGGACGGAGTGAGGTCCAGCACCGTGCTGACCACGCCGCGGCCCGAGCACCCACTCACCGGAGGCCTGGCGCCGGGAAAGCCTGGCGGGCTCGCGCCTCTGTCTGACGGATGCCTTGTCTTCCATTTGGCTCTCGGCATCTCGAAGGACCCTGAAGCCTGGGGTGGAGGGAAAGAAGGGCAGCTCGAGGAAGGAGCAAGGAGCTCCAACAACGGCTCTGCAGCCGCCACTCGGAAGCCTTCCAACCCAGGGCCTGCGACCGACATCTCCGAGAGTGGACGTGGGCTTGCTGGACAC